TTTGAAGTAATTATTGATAGTTATGTATTTTACCATTTTGTTACTTGTTTTGTGGTTGTTTTTATTGTTCTCCTCTGTTTCTTTCTTCTCTTGCTCTCTTATGGTTTGCTGGCTTTCTTTAGTGATATATTTGGATTCCTTTCTCTTTATTTTTTGCATATCTGTTCTCGGTTTTTGATTTATGGTTACCATTATGTTTATATATAACATCTTATGCAATTAGTAGTCTATATTAATTTGATGGTTGCTTAAGTTTGAACCCATTCTAAAAGCACTAAATTTTTACTCCTCCCCCCTTGTTTTAGGTGTATGGTGTCATACTTTACATCCTTTTATTTTATGAATCCTTTTGTTGATTTTTTTTAAAGATTTTATTTATTTATTTGACAGAGAGATAGAGAGCACAAGTAGGCAGAGTGGCAGGCAGAGGGGGAGGGAGAAGCAGGCTCTCTGCTGAGCAGGGAGCCCGATGCGGGGCTTGATCCTAGGACCCCGGGATCATGACCTGAGCCGAAGGCAGCCACTTAACTGACTGAGCCACCCAGGTGCCCTGATTTTTATAGATATACTTAATTTTACTGCTTTTTTGCTACCTACTTTTCTTACTCTTGCATATGGTCTTTCCTCTCTATTCAAAGAATCCCCTTTAACATTTGTTATAGGACTAGTATAATGGTCATGAATTCCTTTAACTTTTATTTGCCTGGGAAACTCTCTTTCTCTTATTCTGAATGATAGCCTTGCTAGATAGGGTATTCTTGGTTGACATTTTTCTCTCAGCACTTTAAATATACCATGCCATTTTCTTCTGGCCTGCAAAGTTTCTGCTAAAAATGAGCTGATAGCCTTATTGGGTTTCCCTTTCTTATAGCTGTTTTCTTTTCTCTTGCTGCTTTTAAAATTCGATTTATCACTACTTTTTGCCATTTTAATTACTATGTGTCTTGGTGTGGACTTTCTTGGGTTGATTTTGTTGGGGGCTTTTTTGTGCCTCCTGGATCTAGATTCCTGTTTCCTTCCCCAGATTTGGGAATTTTTCAGCTACTATTTCTTTTTTCAATAGTATAATATTATATAGTATTTTATAGTATACTATAGTATATAGTATTTTTCAATACTATTTTCTGTCCCCTTTTCTCTCTCTTCTCCTTCTGGGATCTCTATAATGCAAATGTTATTATACTTAATGGTGTTGCTGAATGCCCTTAATCTGTTTTCATTTTTTATTTTTTTTCTCCTTCTTGTTCAGCTTGTTTGTTTTCCATTATTCTGCCCTCCAAGTCACCGATCCATTCTTCTGCTTCCTCTAGTCTACCATTTATTCCCTCTAGTGTATTTTTAATTTCAAGTATTGAGTTCTTCATCTCTGATTGGTTATTTTTTATGTTTTCTCTCTCTTTGTGATGGTCTCACTGAGGTCCTACTCTCTTTTCTTAAATCTAGTGAGTAGTTTTATGACCATTATTTTAAATTCTCTATCAGGCATATTACTTATTTCCATTTCATTTAGCTCTTTTGCTGTGATTTTTGTCCTGTTCTTTGATTTGGGACATATTCCTCTGTCTCCCCATTTTGTCAGACTGCTTGTGACTGTTTCTGTGTTCAAAAAGTCAACTACATCTCCTGTTCTTGAAAATAGTGACCAAGTGAAGAAGAGGTCCTGTATTGTGCCCTGCAGTGAATGTCCCCTGTTCACCAGAACCTGGCATTTCAGGGGTGTTTCCTATGTGTTGCATGTATCCTAGTGTTGTGGCTGAGCCATATTTGCTTTCAGTCGAGTTGTCTGCAATGGTTCTCTTTGCCTGTTGTGGGCAGGGTTTGGTTCTTATGTTGTTAGTGGGGCAGTCTGGGGCCACCTTGGACTTGAGTTGAATCAGACCAGGCATTTGCCAGAACCGGAGTAAACTGAACTATAGGACACTTTCCCTGTGTTGTTCCCTGAAAGCTTTAATTGGTGGGCAGGACCTGCAGTTAGACCAGATGTCTGCTCCCAGCTCATTGCTGGGGCTGCCCTTGGGCTGGTGTGTGTGGTTATCTCCAGAGCTGAGTCTGCTGATTTTCAGTGTTTCAGGTGTTAAGACCCATTGATTGTAAGAACTTGCAAAGTTAGGGGCACCTGGGTGGCTCAGTCTTTAAGCGTCTGCCTCTGGCTCAGGTCATGGGATTGAGCCCTGCATTGGGCTCCCTGCTCAGCGGGAAGCCTGCTTCTCCCTCTCCCACTCCTCCTGTGTTCCCTCTCTAGCTGTCTCTCTCTCTGTCAAATAAATAAAATCTTAAAAAAAAAAAAAAAGAACTTGCAAAGTTAGGCCCCTTTGGTTTTCAAAGCTAAATGTTGTGGGGATTTGTCTTCCCAGTGCGGGTCCCCCTTGGTTAGGGTGCCTGGTGTGGGTGGGGTCTGCTCTTCTCCCCTCTCTTTGCCCACAGTGATGCTTCCACTTGCAGTCCCGCAGGTCCATTTCACTCCTGACTATGTCTCTGCCCTTCCTATCCTCTTCAATGTGGTCTCTTCTCTACCTGTAGCAGTGGAGAGTCTGTTTTACCAGTCTTCAGGTTGTGTTCTGGGTTATTTACAGTGATGTGGGTGTTATCTAGGTGTATTTGTGGGATGAGGTGAGCCTAAGATCTTCCTACTCCGCTATCTTCCCTAGATATCCCTATATTAGAATACTTTAAAAGCTGACCTTGAAGGTAAATCTGAATTAATCATTTTGATGTAGCCAGAAATGAGAATGTGGGGTGTGTGTGTGTGTGTGTGTGTGTGTGTGTGTGTGTGTGAGAGAGAGAGAGAGAGAGAGATGGGGAATAGCATGAGAGATGGTTTACTCTTCACTATGGAGGTGAAAGAGTGGATATCTTGAATCTCCAGTATCTGTTCTATGTTAATGTATACCTTGCCATACTGTGCAGGTTCCAACTTGAATTTTGGATTGAGCATCAACTCACTTTCCACCTATTATTTGCTGAAGGAAGATGTGATTGACTTTGATTCCAGCCACTTTTCTGGAAGAAGAGGGAGGGCAGGAGACAAGAAAGTATGTGTGGAACATAGGCTGTTTAGGAGGATCTTGCCCAAGGACTGAGGGACTTTGTGCATGCATACATACTTTTGTGTATGTGTGTGTGCATTGTGTGTGTGTATGTATGATGAGTTAGGAATGAGTCATTCTGTGACCATTGGTTATTTTCCTTATGTCTGTGTTGAATAAGGAAAGTAGATAAGTTGAGGATGGACCAGTAGGTAGGAGCTAGATTAGAGAGGAACTTATATGACATGGCAGAAAATTTGATTTTATTCTAAATAAAATGACAGTTTAAGGAGATGGGTTGAGTGGTATGATGTGGGGGAAGTGGTGGTGGGAAGTATTTAGAGTGGGGCAGGAGAGGTTGCAAGTTTCTGTACTGAACTGAACTGAACAAGAGTTCAATTCTAAACAAAAGTAGAGTTTGGTTTGTGATCCCAAGTGAATAGACACAGACACAACTTGCAGATGTTTTTACAACTTTTCAAATGAGTTAAAATATCTCAACATTGTTTTCTTTTTTCTTTCTTTTTTTTTTTTTTACTGTATCATTATTTTTAATGTCCAGCATTTACAATAGGAAGGCCAGAGCTTTCTCCCCAACTTAAGTTTATAAATTCTCAATTGGCTTGTGAGGCCAATAGGGATACGTCTTCTTGTCTAATTTGGTTTCTGGGAAGACTTCATTCAGGTCCTCAATGGTCATCTGATCAAATGGAATTATGTTCTTCATCTTCTCCGGCTCTTTTTCATATTCCTCAATCCTGGCCTTTGAGAGAGACAAAAACTCGGCACAACTTTTCACATCTTCTTTTTCTTCAGCATCCACCTGAACAGTACATTTATCCTCTGGCACAGGAACCTTTGGGGCATTAAACTTCTTCTCAAAGTCATCTACCAAACCAGCCTTCACCACATTGGCCTTGTAGTAAGCCCAGTCGATAGCAGGTGGTTTCTCAGGGAGAGTAGCCAACCTGGAGGTAAGTGTCTCATTCCAGGATTTCAGGGAGTTAGCAATGGCCTTCTAGTTGCGGGGTATGATCTCCCCAAAAGCTACCCAGTCAATGGTTTTTAGAGCGAGTTTTCGCACAGCCATCTTGAGATCCTTCACCAACCCTGGTAGCCCAGAGTCCACAGCAGCAAGGAACGGAACTGTTCAACATTGTTTTCTGCTATCTTCTAAAACATGTACTAGATTTTCTTGTTTATTATGGGATAATGATGATACACTTGAAATGAAATATGAATTATCATCTAAAGCTATGAATTATAGTTTCCATTTGAATTAAAATTATTACTTGAGTATTTTGGGCTAAGATGATATTGCCACTCAAGTGGCACATAAAACATTTTCTAGGTATTGACTGTTGTAATTATAATAAAAATTGGATTTTAATAAAGAGTTCTGAGGAAATTATTGTTTTTTTCACTTGAACTGCTGATTAATTAAATTGAAAATGTTCCAACTGCTTTTGCCCTGAGCATCATTATAATAAATGATGACATAGATATTGTTGGTATATTTAAGAAATAGGTCAGGAAGAAAGAAAAAAGGAAAGGAAGAGAGAGGACAGAGAAATGGAGTGGATGAATGAAAAAGAGGAAGAGTGGATAAAAGAAACACACAGGGAAATAGAAAAAGAAGCCCATGGCACTGAAAGTTGTGTAATTAAGAGAACGAAAGCCACTCTAAATATTTCATACAAAGGCAACTTAATATAGGGAATTAATTACCAAAAGTATTGGTAGGGCTTGGGAAGCAAAAAGTGGATGATGAATTTACTAAAAAAGATGGGCAACTGGAGGAAGCCACTACCTTTCCTAGGGCTAAGAGAGAAAAACTGAAAATGGTGCTAAGCAGAGCCTATAAGTACTATGATGCTAAGATTGTTGGAGTGCCACTGCTACACTTGGAGCCCAGGAGCCTGCACTTCTAATGATGTAGAAAGGCTACAGTCTTGTTGATGATGCTGGACTCACCATGGAGGATGCTGGAGCCTGTAGTCACTGCTGTTGCTGGTGCTTGTGCTGGTACTGCTACTACTCCTGGAACCAGAGCCCATGATTAAACTTGCTGAGCTTCCCGGAATATTGTTGCTGCCTCTGCAGGAACTAGAAAGAGAAGGAAAAAAATTAAATGATTTATCTTCCCCTGCCATCTAATTTTCACCAGTATGTCCCAGTAGCAGAACTTAATTGGAAACCAGCTGTCGAGAGTGTGAGAAGTGTAGTCTATATAGGCTTCTAGCCCCCTGAAATAAAGGGAGAGTATGGAAGGGCAGGGATGGAACTGAGAGCCAATAAAGAACAAGCACAGAGAGAAGTTATAAAATAATTGATTCTTTAATCGTGATAGAGAAAAGGAACATTTTTGTAACTTTTCTGAGCAATGTCAAGACCCTTTTTTCATTTTTTTCTGGTTAAAAGATTAGGTTATAAAGACTGGTCAAAAACCTTTGAAAGTGAGATATACCAATTAGGGTGTTTTAGTTTCAAGCAACAAAACTGGACCCTGGTTCACTTAAGAGAAAATACATTTATTATAAGGATATTGGGTAGTGCTCAGAAATGTGAAATATCTAGTCTCTGGATAAGAAATTGGAGTAGCTCTGGATAGCTAGTTTGCAGAAACTAATGGATGCCCTGTTCTAGGTGCTACTTGCTGTTTGTATGGATCAGCTTCATTATTTACCACTTAAGGTTCACATTTACTGGTAGAGAGGCAATCTGGCCTGCCTCTGGTCAGTGGCCCATGGCAGAGTTGAGTGGTTGGGACGGAGACTGCATGTGGCACTCTCTCACTTTGCACTGCTGCTTGATCCACTACAAATTACAATGATGCAATTAAAATTGAACAGCATTTTGGGTGCCATCCATACTGCTGTACTATGATATTTAGTTCTGTTTTATTTTTTACTTACCAGTGCATACCCATCATGTCAAAACAAGAAGAGAAAAATAGACTTCAAGTATGCTTTTAAAAAACACAGTGGAGTGTGGATTATTTTGTTATCAAATTAGATAACAAAGCCTTGTGTTTGTTATGTGTTGACAATGTAGTTGTGCTAAAAGAATACAATATATGTTGATGTCACCCTACTAAGCACCCATCACAATATTTCCATTAGGGTAAATTAGAAATTTAAAGTAGAATATTTCATTATAGCAGAATTTCTTAACAAAAGTAAAAAATGAAAATGAGACTTCAATCAAAGAAAGTTGCCACATGGCTCATCTGTTAGCCAGTCCACTTACCATGATGAGTTAATTAAATCACATTTGATTGTAGCAGATGAAAAAATGTGTCCAGAGAAAATAAACTTGTTTACTACTATTAGCTTTTCAATGAGAAATTTCTCAAAGAGTTGAGGACATTAGGAACACCTTACAGTCAATTAAAAAAACAAGGCTAATGATTTTGAATGGTTTTCCTTGGTTCTTGCTTAGTTTACAGATGTTTTGGTAATGATCTGCTTTTTATTTGAGGAGTTGGTACTGAGTTTGAAGTGACTGAAGAATAAGGCTCTATGAAGTCAGTATGGAATAACAAGAGGCAATAACATTTCAAAGAATTTGAGAAGAGTCAGTACAACCTGAAGTGGAATCTGCTAAGATGTGTTAAAATTGATGATGACAAAAATATGTATGGAGTAGAAAAAGACTAAGTTATATACATTTACAAATGTTGTGAAAATATAAAATGTTTAAAGCTCATGGTTATTCATTGTGTTGTGAGTAGGTACTTTGTAGGAAATTTTTGAATCATCATGGATTGTTGAATTGGTATTGTCAAAAGTAAACCATTCCCTCTTGTGAATTTAACCATCAATTCTATGTATTTTTTGTCAGAAATAGAAAGAATTTCATGACTTGCTCTGTTACAATAAGATTGATGGCTTAGAAAAGTAAAATTTTATGTGGGTTTTTGAACTCAGGGCCAATATTTGAACTGTCTCTGCATGAGGAAAATACCACTAACCACTGTTACTGAACACTGAATGGCTTTGGAAATTTGTTTTTGCATTGATAGTTTCTGAGTTCAACTTATAATTACAAGGCAGAAGTATGCTTATCTGTGAAACTTATATTATGGTAAAGTCATTTTAACTTCAGTGACCACTAATCTTTATCATGAATAATTTCAGCTGCTTTATATGCTTCTCATGCTGTCAAAAGTTAAAACAAGTAGTAAGCTCTCTAATCCTCCACAATTTTCAGTGAATGTATTTTCCCAGCTCAAACTACGTTTCCAATAGCATTTTTCAGACTCTGATGCAAGTGCAAAAAAAAATTACGTATTTAAAAATTCTTTTAATTGTGCAATTGTAGAACTACCACTCAACCTTAATCAGCAATGCAATGACATGCTAAAAGACAAACCAGGAAAAGAATCTAATTCAATTCTAGAAGTGTCCTCTAAGTGATGCATATGGTCAATATCAGTCCTTGATACTTATCTGTATGAAAAGACATTTCTAAGTTGAAATTCATAAAATCATATTACAGATCTGCATTAACAGAAGAACATTTGCAATTAATTTGAATGATTTGGAGTACTAACTTTGAATCCCAACTACTACCCCACAAGAATTCCATTATATTCTCATTAATGGACCTATCTTGTTATACTCAATTATTTGAATTTTGTCAATAAGAAAATTGTGGAAATGTGTTTTCTCTCTTATATTAGTAGTACATATTATTCTTAATTTTGCCTTTTGACCTGATGCTGGCAGGCCAGGTCCAGGGACCCAGAGGGAGTCACGCAGGACCAGTCAAAGAGGATCTTGGCTTTGCATAGGATAAAAATCAAATGTGAGCCAGCAGGAAGTAAGAGCAGAATATATTGAATATATAGAGAGAACAGATACAGACAGAGCATCCGGGAAACTGGGAAAGGAAAGCAGCATGAGTTTCGTCTTTGTTCGGGGTCTGGAGTTTTTTTTATTGAGGAGGGTGGTCTGGTGTACCTTTCCTCTCAGGCATCCAGGAAATGGTTAGAACAAAGACGAGGGCCCAGGTGTTATTCCCTGGAGCCAGGGGGCCTTGGCGTCAAGATGTCTAGCTCCCATGGTCTGGAATATTCATATGATGGCTTCATCCAGTCATTCTCACCTGTTCCTTCCTTAGATATTATCTATTCTAGAGAAATCATTAACTCCAGTCCCTTATGAGGAGGAGGTATGCTATTTGCATTACAAGGCATGTGTGAAGTGGTGTGGGGGTGCAGGTCCTAGCAAGAATAGAAGCAGGAAAAGGAGGAAAAGAAGATTTTTATGGAGTCCTTTAGTTTCCCTATCTCAGACCCACAAAACCTAAAATTTTTACCATCTGGCCTTTTACAGAAAAGGTTTGCTTTGGTTTAGGCAAGTAAATACCAGTAGATACTAATCTGAAATCTGTACATTGTATTGGTTTTCTTTGTGTAATCAAGAGGAATTTGCTTCTCTCTAGCTTGAAATATCCAGTTTATTATTACCTCCTTCTGGGTAAAGGATTTTTTGGAGGAAACTTTGAATATAAATTGTTATTTACAACTTAAGAATGTAATTGTGCATGGTTGGTCTCAGCGTTATCACTTACTTCTTTTATTGCATCTTTTGCAAAGTGTGGACCAGCCAGAAGCAACTGTAAACTGTGGACAAAACTAGAACAGCTGTCTTCATCTTTAGTTCTGAATGTCAGAGCTCCTTTTTCCCAGTGAAATTTTATCTTAGCATCATGAAAGCACAATCTCGTCTAGAGATCAGGCTAGTAGGAGTAGACTAGGTGTGGAGGGGTAGTATAAATGCTTCCTTCTCCTTTCCAGTGTAACTTACCAGTTCATCCTTAATTTTTTAAAAAAGATTTATTTATTTATTTATTTGACATAGAGAGCACAAGCAGGGGGAGCTGCAGGCAGAGGGAGAAGCAGGCTCTCTGCAGAGCAGGGAGCGCGATGCGGGGCTCGATCCCAGGACCCCAGGATCGTGACCTGAGCTGAAGGCAGTCACTTAACCAACTGAGCCACCCAGGCACCCCCAGTTCATCCTTAATTACTTCTATATAGTCTAGCAATGAGTTAGCTATACTGCCTGAAAATCCTTATCTACACCCATATTCTAAACTTTTGACTCTTAACAGTAGAAACTTTCAAGAACCTTGTTCATAAATATGATTATTCCATTAGTAGCATACCAGGCTCAAATATTTCTCCAAGTTTTTAATATTATCATGTTTAACCCTATCACTGAGGTGATCACAGCCAAAAGAACTGCTCTGAGCACCCGCAGAGCTTTGCCAGCATTCAACATTAGCCTTTGGCAAGGCTCCAGGAGCCAGTGGTGAATCTTGGCCATCTGGTCTTCTACACTTGCAGTTCCTGCCAAATAGTGAGGCAATGATTTGGCACATTTTGATTAATGATAGGTTTAGCAAGAGTTAGGCTTTCAGGTAGCTAATGATGAGTAGAACAATCTTCTGAATACTGTGAGCTGAGTGAAGGAGAGAATGTGAAAAGGCATAAGGAGCAAAGTTCAGGAAGGAACTAAAATGTATAGAGTAGCAGACACTGGCTTGGTGTTTCACATCTATCATTTTATTAAATTTACAGCAAAACATCTGGGCGAGGGGTACTATCATGCTTATTTTATAGGTGAAACTCAGAGATAAAGTGATTCAAAGTTGTAAGTAGTAGATTAAAAGCCTAGTCTGTCTGTCAATACTTGACTCTGAAAATACAGTTGACACGAGTAGATATTATAGGAAAAGGAGAAAAGGCCAATAATAAAACAGCAGTCTGGAACACCTCCGATTTCAGCTTCATCATATGGTGTTTTATTGGGAAGCCCGATTGTGTTTCATCTAAAGTTCTTTTCTGGGACTGGAGCTGCAGAAAATATCCTTATCTCTATTTTGGTTGTTAAACTCTAGGAGGAAGCTCTCTCAACTTTGCCTTAGTAAGACACACAAGGGCACTTCTGTGGATATGAGATTGAAGAGAGATTTTACATAAGAAAAATATTTAAAGTTTATATATTTTTGTAGATGTGCTTTATGGTAGAGGAGGCTTCAAGAGTCTCCATGGACCTAAGAGAAAGTAATAAGGAAGAATTAATAAGAATTAATACAGTATATAGAAATTGTCAGATAATCTCAGGATATGCACTGATCAGACCTTGAGTAATGTCCATATTTGAATTGTGAAGTTTAGAAAAGATAATAAGAGGTCTACCAAGAAAAACCTAAAATGTGGTCAATTGGCTAAAAAACCAAAAACCAAACTAAAAATTGATTAATTAATTCATTGATCTGTTCATCAAACTTTTATCTCTACTATGTGACAACATTTTTGCCAGGCACTGAGGAATATAAGGCATGGTCTTTTTCTTAATCTATCTAAGTCAGTTTCCTTATCTATACAATTAGTTCATAATACTTAACCTTAAAGGATTTGTGTGTGTGTGTGTGTGTGTGTGTGTGAGGTTTAAATAAGAGAACACATTTAAATTCTTATAAAGCACTTGGTCACATAATAGGGACTCAATACTATAGTCTAATAAAGGAGACAGAGAAATGAACAGTAATTATAATTGTAATGAAGATATGTACAAATGCTATGGGTATAACTCCTCAGAGCAGATGACATTGAATCCTGAAGAAGATGGAACAGAATTGAGAAACTTTGATGTTTGGAGGTGAAAACTTAGAACAGTTCAAAAGGTGTCTTAGCATAGTGCTAAGTACATGGAAGATAATAAGCACTCACTGGATTATATTGATTGATTAGATTATCAAGAACTGTGAAAGGTCTGAGATTTTACCCTGTTTACAAGTTAGCCTGCAAGTTACAAGTTTCATGGATGCTGGTAGAAGATATGAGACTTTGGGTCAGAGATGCTGGTAGAAGATATGAGACTTTGGGTCAGAGATGCTGGTAGAAGATATGAGACTTTGGGTCAGAGATGAAAGATAGTTGTTACTTAGTATAATAGTAGCCAGAGTATCATTTGTGCCAATTCTTTTTACTCCTGTACCCCACACAGTGGACCAGATTATACGTGCAAATTATACGAGAGGATTTCTGAGCCGAGGGACCCCATATCTTTTATAACATGGGGTAAGCATGCCTACCCTTTGCTCTGAAGGAGACATTATCTTTATCTTCAAAGGCTGTAAGCACATCTGCCCTTCTTGGTTTTGGAGGCAGATCTTAACTTCCAGGTCTTTTCTGTACAAACATCCTTGAGAAGACGGTATAGAAGAATAAGAAGTCAGTGCCTCTGCTTACAAGACATGTGAAAATGAGATACCATGGAGAATTATCTTCCAACATTGTTTTTTTATTAGAATTATTGTTGTATTAAAGGATGAAAAGACAAATTTAGATTTTTATCTGTCTCTATCCACTAAAATACTAGACACTGAAAACATGTGACCTTTATTTAAAAATCTTCAGAAAAGAGTACACTCTGAAGGCAATATTTAAGTAAATTATTGAATGTTGCTGAATACACAGATCGAACATTGACTGTGTTTACTCTTTGAATCAAGAGAGATGGAAAGGCAGCTCATATAATAATTCAGGTGTTTTACATATTAAGTAATGAGGCTATATCTCAATATCTGGGAACAATCATGAAATTTAAGATGTTTTAAATTTTAAAAATAAGTTTATTTCAAGACTCATTCACTTTGTCAAATTCTTTAATGAAAAATGAAACCCCAGATAGCATACTTACGTTCTTTTAATTTTTTGGTTTCTTTTTTGTTAATAAATATAGATGTACTGTTTACATCAAGTAGGAATTGGTTAGCAGCTTGACTTGTATTGCTCGCAAACAAACAACAACAAAAATGCAAACCAAAGACCTATGAACACAAACCAACAGCCAAAATTACTGTCTGTATCTTTAAATTCTTAAATGTGTTTTGGAATTTGTTGGGCAAAGTTAGGTTGGTTTTAAAATTTAGCGCAGTGACTCAGTTGCAGCTGTTCCAAATTATTGGTCATGAGCTTTTTATACTATCTGGCTTAATTTAACAGAGTACAGCTTCCTGCCATTTTTTCTTCTCTGTGATCAAGAATCTGAAATATATACATCTTAAGGGATTATCTCAGTTGTCATATTTAAGAATAACAGTCTAGTGTAGGCTTTATGAAGAGCGGTTTTCATACACTTTTTATTTTAGATACTTTTATCTGGATAGATAAAAATAATAGGAATTCCAGATGATATGTATTTTTAAAGTAAGAAACCCATGTTCATCGTATCAGTTTAGAGAATTTAGGCATATAAAAGAAATCCTCCTTTCACTTAGAGATAGCTATTTTAATATTTGGTATATAGCCCAATTACTGTGTCTTGACATCTGATTTATTGCTTTTGTAATGATTAAGATTATCTATTATGACTATAGTGGAAATCAAGAGATACATAAATTACCAATGCTGACCCACTGAGAACCATTTCCCTTCAAACAAACAAACAAACAAACATTGTATGGTGACTAACATATAAAATTAAACAAGCAGGGCGCCTGGGTGGCTCAGTTGGTTGAGTGACTGCCTTCGGCTCGGGTCATGATCCCGGAGTCCTGGGATCGAGTCCCGCGTCGGGCTCCCGGCTCGGCAGGGAGCCTGCTTCTCCCTCTGACCTTCTCCCCTCTCATACTGTTTCTCTCTCTCTCTCTCTCAAATACATAAATAAAATCTTTAAAAAAAAATAAAATTAAACAAGCAAACAAAGAAACCCATTTCCTTATTCACACTAGCAGCAACTACAATAAAACAGCAACAAAACAAAAAAGATATGCAACTAATATATCTTGACTTCATAAATATTAGTTATTTGACAACAATAAAAATGAGTTAGCACCTACCTGACTGGGTTACTTAAGATCTTTATACAGGCAAGTGTTTTTCCCTGGCCTGTTTTTAATGTCCTCAAATCACAGTTTGTTGCATTGTAATGTCTAAGTCTGTTGCATATTTTTTTTTTTTAAGATTTTATTCATTTATTTGACAGAGACACAGCGAGAGCGGGAACACAAGCAGGGGGGGCGGGAGAGGGAGAAGCAGGCCCCCCGCGGAGCAGGGAGCCCGATTCCCAGGACCCCGGGATCACGACCTGAGCCGAAGGCAGACGCTTAACGACTGAGCCACCCAGGCGCCCCAGTCTGTTGCATATTTTTGGTCCTACTTCTGTATAGAGGAGGAACAGAACTTTTGTAACACATGGACTAAAGTTCATCTCTCCTTTCAACTCTCATTTCACGTGTATTTGCAGTAAACACATCAGATCCTATACCTTTGAGTTAATTTTGTCTCCTTAGGCATTGTGGGTATATTCCAACTATCCTGTCATTGCTGTTCACATTTTTTAGGGTCAGGCATGGCCATCTTTTTTTTTTTTTTTTTTGTAAGAGTGGGAGCAAGAAAGTGAGAGAGAGACTGTTAAGTGGCATAGTTCCATCTGTAGATTTTTAGCCACATCTGTGGTTCTTCTTATGCTAGAGACTCTGGCTGGGTCCTATTTGGGCTCTCATTTGAGACTTGGAAGACATATGGACTAAAACCATGTATGTGTATAGAAGTTCATTGTCCTTCGTTGTGTATATGATTTGCATTTCCCTAATGACTATTGATGTTGAGCATCTTTTCATGTGCTCATTGACCATTCTTTTATCTCCTTGAAGATATGTCTATTCAGATCTTTTGCCCAGTTTTAAATTGAGTTGTCTTTTTATTATTGCGTTTAAGGCTTGTGTATCTTGCAAGTCCCTTATTGTATATGTGATTTACAAATATTTTCTCTCATTCCATGCTTTGTTTTTTCACTTTCTTGATCATGTCCATTTATGTACAAAAGTTTAAGTTTTTTTTTAAGATTTTTAATTTTAATTTCTATATCCAACATGGGGCTTGAACTCACAACCATGAGATCAGGAGTTGCATGCTTCACCGACTGAGTCGGCCAGTCACCACCAAAAGTTTTTAATTTTGATGCAGTCCAATTTATCATTTTTTCTGTTGTTACTGCTTTAGTGTCCTATCTGTAAAACATTGCATAACCCAAGATTATGAAAATTTAATTCTTTTTTTGTAAGAGTTTTATTGTTTTAGCCTGACATTTAGGTCTTTGATCCATTTCTTTTTTTTAAAAAAGATTTTATTTATTTATTTGAGAGAGAGAGAATGAGAGATAGCACGAGAGGGAGGAGGGTCAGCAGGAGAAGCAGACTCCCCGCTGCGCAGGGAGCCCGATGTGGGACTCGATCCCAGGACTCCAGGATCATGACCTGAGCTGAAGGCAGTCACTTAACCAACTGAGCCACCCAGGCACCCTCTTTGATCCATTTCAAGTTAATTTTATATTATGTGAGGTAGGTGTCTAATTTCATTCTCTTGCATATGGATATACAGTTTTCCCAGCACCATTTATTTCCTATGAAATTGTCTTGATGCTTTTGTTGAAAATCAACTCATCATTGATATAAGGGCTTATTTTTGGAATTTCAGTTCTATTCTATTGATCTCTATGCCTCTTCTTATGCTGGTACCATACTGTTTTAATTATTGTAGATTTGTAGTAACTTTTGAAATCAGGAAGTGAAGAACATTTTCAGCAGTGTTTTGGCTACTCTAGGTCCTTTGAATTTCCTTTTGAATTTTAGGATCAGTTTGTCAATATGTGCAAAAAAGCCAGCTTGGATTTTGATAATGATTGCTTTGAATTCGTAGATCAATTTAGTGGGTATTGCCATCTTAGCAATATTAAGACTTCTGATCCATGGACATGGGATGTCTTCTCATTTATTTAGGTCTTCTTAATTCCTTTCAACAATGATTTGTAGTTTTTAGTATACAAGTCTTACACTTCTTTTTTTAAATTTATACTAAATATTTTATTCCTTTTGATGCTATTATTTTTTTTTAAAAGGGAAGTAATTGTATGAATAGCTCTTTATATTTTACTTGGATTATCAAATGGCTCTTGAAACAATCTGGAGCAGTAGAATGGGAAGTCATTAAAGTCTAAGGGCAGAGAAGACTAGACTGACTCTTTTCCAACTCACTTTTAGGTAGGAAGCATCAACATATTACATTATCTCTTCTTGGACATCTGGACTTCTTTACAAAGAGGCCTCTTCATTTATAATTCCTGAGAACGTGGGTCTCCAGAGCTCCAGAGCTCCTAGTTCCTTGTTGGCATTCTATAATCTATCCAACTCCTCTGTTCTTATTTTAATCACCATTTGGATGTATGAACAGCCCCCAGAACCTTGAGCTCTGCTTTGCTCTGGGGCACCCATATAGCCGTTCAGATCAGTTAAATCAAGCCCAGAGGTCTTTAAGGGTATTAGCCCATCATCTTCATATGCCATATATAATCTACATAACCAGCACTGACATGCCTACTGATATGGCCTTACATTGTAGTCACTAAGCCAAAATGCTAGAGTGCTGTACCACAAAACCCACCTCTCATTCAGCTAGTTGGAATTTTCATTCCACTCCCTTTTGATGCTATTTTTAAATGCGATTGTTTCCTTAATTTCATTTTTGGAATGTTCACTGTTCAGAAATACAATAGATTTTTTTTTTATATTTGGCTTCTATCATGCAAATAATTTTAATCTACTCAGGACTTCTCAGATATCATCTTCTCTGGGAAGTTTTCACAGATCCTTCTGGACTGAATTAGGTAACCTTTATGTTGCTGTAAATACCTCCTCATACCATCACTGTACAATTCACTTTCATACTATTTTGTTATAGACTTAGAGTTACAGAGCTTATTTCTAGACCTCTCATCTAAATTATTAGATTGGCTTTTAGTCCTGACATTGTAACATACTTGTGTGCCAAGTTTAGTGAAAAGGTTTGTCCCAAATATTTCTAACTAACAATAATTTGAAGTACTGAAGTTTCTGAATGATTTACTAGTTAAAAATAGGTAATATTAAAACTGCAAATTCTGAGTCTGACAACAAAGTAAGGTTTATTTTTCTTTTAATGGTATTCATTCCCTCATCTTATTTATAATACCTAGAGAGTGGAATTTTGGGGGAAAAAGACCAATTAAAAAATAGAGCTCAGGATTTAGAAAATTATGAGTCTTATTTCTTATTTATCCCTATAAAATGACAATTTTTTAAGTTCTTTAATGAGTTCACTAAAGTCACATGAATATCAAATGTTTTAATGA